CCAGCACCCCTCTAAACGGTCAAGGTCATCAAAAACGGAATGTTTGAGAAACTGGTACAGCCAAGAGGAGCCTGACAACTAAATGTAACGTGGCATCCTGGATGGGATCTTACAATAGAAAAAAAATACATTAGGTGAAAACTAAGGAAGTCTGAATAAGGTATGGACTTTTATTAAAGATAATGTATCAATGTTGGTTCAAAAATGGTGACAAATGTACCTTACTAATGTTAAGATGTTAATGGTAGAAGACATTGTGTGTGGGGCTTGTGAGAATTCTCCATACTACTTTTGCAACTTTTCTATAAATTTAAAACCATTCTATAATTAAAATTATTTTTTAAAAATGCAGAACAATACTTTTCTATGTTTCTGTTTGTGTGTGTGCGCATGTGTGTGTGTGTGTGTGTGTGTGTTTGTTTAAAGGGCAACTAGGAGGTAGAAGATTAGAAAGAAGAAAAAAAGGAAAAACAAATGTCTCTGGAAGAAAATACACAAAACTAGAGAGAAGCTCAGTAGATGAGACTTTTTACTGTGTTCTCCTTTGCACATTTTGATTATTACTTTTATGAGAATATTTTTACCTATTTTTTAAAAGTATTAAATATTTAATGTAATTGAAAATCTTAAATATTTAATATTAAATATCATTAAAATAATAGAAGTCTCAACAGGAATTACCCTCCATAGTGGCACAAGAAGAGAGGGGTCAATCTTGGGAGTTCCCTACCAACTTGGGATTGGGAAGCTAACTACAAGGCAGATGTGTTCATATGGCAGGTGCTTCATGAGAAAGAAAAACAACACATGGAGCAAGATGCCATAAAGGTGATTGAGCAGCAGAGACTTAATGAGCTCAAGACATAAAGGCCTCAGCATCTGGAGAAGGTTGTTGAGGGACCATAGGGGCAGAAGCTAGGTTAGTGCAGCTGCCCATATGGTTCTCACTTGATTTTAGGCTTCTGCACGTTCCTTGTCCTCAGGAAGTGATGTGACAGGAGTGCTAACTGGAAATAAGGACTTGGATGCAGGAAAAGAAAATGCCTGAAACTTTTGCCCAGCTCTTGACCCCAGGGCTCTGGGTGGTGCTAAGAGTATTCCATGAACTTCTTTTGTTTATTGCTTTAGATATACATAAATATTTTTGTTCTTTTTGCATTATTATTCCTGTAGTTGAACTAGTGTCGCAACATTTTCTAGGCTGCAGCCTGGAAACCTTAGTTTGGAGAATTCTATGAACAAAGTCATATTTCTTTCATCATCTGCACCATATATTTGGGCCCTGGTTAATTAAGCACTCAACACCATCTGTGCACTTCCCTGTATTGTTCTCCAGAGAAAGCAAAGTGTAAGTCTTTTGTCCTATGCATAATCTGCAAACTCCTTGGAGGAATCATGTCTTGTATATCTTATATATCCTGCAGGCAACTCAGGGTTGGACCAACTATTTCATGCTTCTAGACCAACCTGTTACTGTTCTATTCCCCAACTTGTGTTAGTGTTGTCTTTCTTAGTTGAGGGGACTATGTCATTCACTGTTCCAAACCAAGACAATTTTGAGGGTGAAAGTGTGGTGGTATTAATAACACTGAGGGATATCAGTCATAAACTGGAACTGTCCCAGGGCAAACTGCAAACTGGGACATAAGGGTAGGCCCACTCATAGGATTTACCATGTCAGCGGGGAGGGTACAAATGGAGGCCCACATATCACATCTAAATATTTAAAAGCTATGCATGAAGCTAAGAAAGCATTAAATAAACTATCCTCCTGTCTCAAAAAATAGGCCTTTGTAATGACAATACTCATTTTCACACCCTCTCCTCCTTTCCAAATAATTGAGAAATCCATAGGAAAATACCTTTATTCTGTGTGTGTGTGTTTATATATGGGGGAGGGGGAGCAGGGGACTCTTTTATCCCCTACTAGAGGCTTCACTGACCCCTTCCCTATTGCCCCTCTCCAATTTCCACCATCCAGATGCCTCCAGGCTGCGGTCTCAAGCTTTCTATTTACCCTACCCAAGTCCAAGCTTTGCAAACTCTGTCTACAAGGTATCCTAACCCACCAGCTCCACCAGCACAGACCTTTCCAGACCTCCAAAGAACACTGAGGCTGGAAGGCCTCGTGCAGGTAGAACCCTCAGACTCCTCAGAATACCTTGCCACAATATGGTGGCTTGTGGCAAGCTGCCCTCAGCCCCAGACCCTGGGCCTGGGCTCCTGAATTACCCATTTTCTATTTCCTTCCCAGACTCCTTCGCATACCAGGTATGGACACCCCATCTCAACAGTTCCAAGTTGTGTTTCTGTTCCCCACCAATAGCTGCCCGTTGGCCACTGCCTGAGTGAGAGGCATGGCCTTCCCTTGGGAAGGAAATTCTGAGGTCCCATGTCCCCAGAACGTGGTCTGGAAGGTGGAGCATCAGCTCTAGGTGGGCATGATCCCATGACCTTGCAGATTTCTCCTGCTCTGAGGAGGGGCTAAACCAGAGGAGGCTATACAGGATCGCCCTCTAAAGTGTGGGACTCCAGGGCAAGACTCCTCTTGTCTGAATTGTGTTGTGGACTGCATTGTATCCCCCCAAAATTCATTAAAAAAAGGTTGAAGTTCTCATTCTCGGCGTGACTGCATTTGGGGATAGGTCGTTTAAGGAGGTAATTAAGCTTAAATGAGGTTGTGAGGGTGGGGCCCTAATCCAATAGGACTGGTGTTCTTATAATAAGAGGGTATTAAGGAGGGCACGTACTGCATGGAGCACTGGGTGTTATACGAAAACAATGAAGTATGGATCACTACATCAAAAACTAATGATGTATTGTATGGTGACTAACATAACATAATAAAATAAGATTTAAAAAAATAATAAGAGGGAGAGACACCAGATATATCTCTGTCTCTGTCTCTCTTTCTGTGCTCACGCAGAAAAGGCTGTATGAAGACACAGTGAATGGTGGCTATCTACAAGCCTAGGAGAGAGGTGTCACCAGAACCCAAGACCATGTGAACCTTTATTTTTGACTTTCAGCCTCCAGAACTATGAGGCAACTAATTCTGTTCTTTAAGCCATTCAGCCCATGGTATTTTGTTATGGTGGCCCAATTAGACCAATACTCCTGGGAATGAGGGCAATCCTGTGCAGAGCAACCCCCCCTCCAGTCTTAGACATGCTCTCTGCATTCCAAGTATAATGAGGAGGGAGGCTGAGTTTAAGAAAATAGGAGTGGGAAATGGAAGAAAGAAAGCTGATGGATGCAGAGCATGAGCATTACCAGGAAGATTGCACCACAAGGGGCATTATTCCTCTATTCCCATGTTCAGTTGACAAGTACCAAATTTCCACTTGTGCCAGGCATGGGCTAGGCAGTGGAAATGCAGTTTGAACAAGATAGAGAAGGTCCCAGTTCTCGATGTGCCTACTTTCTAGTAGGATCACTGGGTGGTAGTATTAGGATGGTCTCTTAAATCATAAAGAGATGGATGAACAGTATCCTTTTGGAAACTCTCAACCTCATTCTCCATATGTTCCTCATCTGAAAGGATGACCCAGGAGGTAGAGGTGGGGCGTCCCTCTGTTGCCTTGGTCATCATCTCTTCCCTGACACCTCCAGCAATTGGAGGAGGTTGGGTGTGATAAACCCTTCCAGCATCTGAGCATAGCTGGGATCCAGATGTGGCTCTGGGGAAGCTGGGTTAGATGGGGAGGTTGCTGAGAGGTGAGCTCAAACAGGTGGTCCAATTCCTGGCTCTGTATGAAGAGGTTTGGTCAGTGCAATGACTTCAGAGTTCCAATCCCCTACCTGTCAAATAGTCATTGGACTAGAAATTTCCTGGACTCCTGGCTACTTAATCCACCTGGGATTAGCCTCAGTTTTCACCATCCCAAGAGGGGTGTCTCAACATTATTTTATTTTATTTTATTTTATTTTATTTTGTTAAAGGAAACAGGAAAATGAGGGTTCCTTCCTCCTCTTCCCTACACCTGTTCCCTTCCCCAAGCAGAATACGGCCCTGACTTCTCAGACTCTGCTCAGCATTCCTCAAAAGGCATCATCACTCTGAGCCAGATAATTTGTGATTCTCCAGGCCTTGAAATAAACTTGATCTGATTAGTATTGATCACCTAAATAAAAAAAAAATAATAATAATAACAATAATAAAAGGGACTTGTTTATTTTCCCAGGGAAGAATTTTATTTCCCCATCTCATCTCTTTACTGTCAGCTCTTTTCAAAGCTATAAAAGCACCTTGGCTCCATACCAGGTCATGCCTGTGGGATTTCACTGTTGTAGAACAGGGGGTGGGGGTGAGGGGAAGAACCTAAACTTTGTCAGCTGCAATTTCCCAGTGAGGGAATGAAAGAATACCAGGTTCCACTCATACCTTGACCATGAGACTAGCCTTCAAAAGTTTCTGAATACTGCTTTGAACTTCTCCAGTCGTCTTTCCAGACACTTTAAGCAAGCAAATCTTCACATTAAAATGATTTGGGGGGGGGGGACCCTCTAAAATGCCAAAAGAAGCATGAAATACTAAAAGGATTTTTAGTACTTTCAGTACTAAAAGGATCTGTGTAAAAGTATTATGCAAACAGGGAAATTCTGCTTCTGAAATGGAGGAAGAGACTGGAAGGAGTTAATTTACAAATTTGCTGGAAAGATCTCTTCTGCTTTTCCCAGATGTTCACACACCTGTGCCTATCACCACTGCCCCTAGTTATTCCTGTCTCATGGGACCTATAAAGTCTCCCACTCATATGTTCCTGGAGCATCTTAGACCCCAGCATTTAGCTTTGAATCTTCAGAGGCCCCCATTCCAGATCCCCACCCTCACATCTCATCTCCACCCAGTCTCTGGATCTAAAATTAGCCCATTTCCCAGAGTGCTCAGTCTCATCTTCTTGGTTCTTCACTCTTTCACTGGGTTGGGTTCCTGGCTTGCAATACAAGAATGGGGGAGAAAAAGCCATCACTTTAAACAGAATTCCATTCTTCTCCAGGTCCCCAAGGAGGCCATGGCATAGCACAAGTATCCAGTGACCAGGAGCTGCTGTTACCAATTTGTCACTGTATCCTGACTTGGCTGGGGGGTCCTGGCCCCGTGCCCCCTTTCCAGCCCTTCAACAACTCCTGAGATTTCTCCTTACCCACAGTGCCCTCCCAGGAGAACCAATGGGAAAATGAGAGTGTGGGGCCTTTGCTAGTTAAATGTGCTCACCCTCAAAATACACAGCGTGGGTCATTGTGGGTTATCTACTCAATTGGCAAGACTGAACATGTGCTATATGTGAAATAGCCAGAAATGTGAAATAGCTAAATGTGAAATAGCCAGAAAATAAGAAAGTTCATCTTTGATGAACTTTTGAAGAATTTTGCAATCAAAAATATCTAAGGGAAAAACTATTTTTATTTCAGTAAATCTTTAAGTCTTGTCTTCTTAAATTTGGTGTTATTTATTTTGAAAGTTGCATTAATTATTTTCATGCCTAGCATCTCTTAGTGTGTTCTCTGACCCCACATATCACAGAAACAGCACACAGTCAGGAGTCATTGTAGAGGAATGACTAGCACCTAGGTGTCCTAGCTGGTTGTACGAACTTGTTCAAATTGTGTAACTTCATACTCTGGTTTCTCTTCAGATCGCATAAATCTTTTGCCTTTTACAAATTGTGTGTAACTTCTTTGGACTGTCGTTTCTTAATGTGTCAAATAAAAATTGATCTCAATGTTTAAAATCACTTTCAGTTCTAAAAGTCCATGATGCTACAACTTTACAGTAATTTAAATTCCTATACATGAAGCAGCCGAGGTTTAAAAATTATAATTAACTTATTACTGTCATCTTGGCTGGAAGCCTTGGAAGCCATAGTTGCCCATAGGGCACAGATGAAACTTTAGCATGTGCTTTTGAATGGCTCCTCCCTCGGGATATGGCACATGACTCTGTGGCTTGAAGTGGGATGGAGAATGCAGCCTCCCTGAAACAAAGGACTCTTTAGGGTCGGGATGTCCAATACAAACTGTAAACTGGAAGAGACCACCATGTTCCAGTGAAAGAGTCTGATGAAAAACAGATCCTGGGCCCATGGTTGCAGAGTTCCTGGGGACTGCTCAGCTCCTGCTCAGCATACCGCTCTGCCCTGTCAGTAATTGAGAAAATGGAAATGACCTTCCCTGGCCCCATAGCCAGACCCAAGCCATCCACCCCCAGGGGGAACCTTGATCAGAGTCTCCCTGGGCAGTGACCTCTTGGGGAATGTAGTAAATCCTATCCAGTAGGTAATCTTTAAGGAGCCTTCAGGCTTTGGTGCCTTGTGACTCAAAACCTGGGGTCTTAGGGATAGGAGGTTGATTTCTAGGGAATTAGCCAAAGCTAATTCTGCAACCCCAATGTTCTCTCGGTCATTGGCTCTGCCTCAGGTGAGGAAGGCGAGCCACCCAAAGTCGAAGTGAGCAACAGTAAAATAACAGAAACTTCAGAGCACTGACATTTTGTGTGTGGTTTGGAAGGAGGTATGTGCAGTTTCTGCCCAGAGAATCCAAGAAGGCTTCGTAGAGGAGGTGGGAGCCTGAGAGTGTTTTAACGAGGGAGGAGGAAGGCACATTAATAGATATGAGGTTAAAAAGAGGCTTTCCACAGGCAAACCCAAGCTGATTAGGTGCCTGAATGCTAGAGGCTGTGAACCCTGGGTACCCACTCAGTGGGTGGTCTGTGCTATTGTGTGAATTACCCATGGACCCCCAGAAAGCTGTGGCCTGTGCTGCCCGGGGTTGGACTGCTGTTACTTCTCCCTTTAGCCTGGGGCAGAAGGCAGCCATAAGCCTCAGCCTGACAAGGACACAAAGCAGAGGTGAAGGGGAAGAAGTGATGGACACAGAGGACGGTGGAAGGCCAGTTGTCCGGAGCTTCACCGCCCACCCAGCTGCCCTTCTTTTCACCCTCCCCTTCCAAGGCCTCCAGAACAAGCGCTTTTCCCGCCAGATGTTTTGAATCTCCTTTCCCATCCTAATTAAAGACAGCTTTTCTTTCTGCTTGGGAAGGAAGGGGAGGAATATGCCTTGCAGCCCTTTCCCTTCACTCCTCCCTCCTTCCTCTGGGGTGAGATGCTCTCCATTTCCAAGCAAAAGGTGGGGTCAGATGGTTCACCCAGCCCCTTCCCAGCAGAAAGCCAGTCTCAGGACTCTAGCTCCTTTTCCCAGTAGGGGGGATGTGGCCCTCACTGCATCTCCCCCATCCTCTCCCCTACAGCACTCACCTCAGTAAGATAGCTGCAAACCCCACTTCCCCAGAGAAGCTGCACTTTTCAGCTATCAGTGGGGGAACAATGCCTCTGCCTCAGAGCAGACGTCTTTCCCAGGAGAGAGCTGTGGCCAGTTAGAGGAATTGTTCACTTTTCTCGCCAAGTACCACTGGAACCACTCAATTAGGGATAACTGCAGTTCAGCACCAGTTCCCAAGGGTAGCCATGTAGCATCAGAAATCCTGTCCAGATGCACCCGTGGGCCTGCACAGTCTTCAGCCAGCCCCAGTGCTTCTGTCAGTCCAGCTTGATATTCTGTAATTCTGAGGATTGTAAGGCAAAGGTGAAAGGACCCCTATAGAGCACTGTGGAGAAGCACCCTTTCATTGGCTCAGTAACCTACATTTTTCAGACCACCCAAGCCTGAGGATGAAAATAGGATCCCAAGAGCAAATACAGAACTTCTCCAGGAAACTACACTTGTGTTCTGTAGAACTTCCAGCTCCCTCTCAAATTTCTTTCAAGCAGCCCTGAGTTTCTGTCTCCCTTGGTGTCTCATCAGTAGCCTCAGAGCAGAGAGTGTCCATTATGGGCTCTGCAAGGCAGTCCTTGGGGCTACCGTGTGACATCTGGTGCTTTTATCTTTTCCCACTCTAGCTTATTTGGGGTAATGACTCCCATTGCTGCTGAAACTCTGTCACTGATGCCTGCTGGAGACATTTAATTCTTGCCAGTATCCAATGTCAAAGTCATTGCCGTCTATGGTGGGGCATCCTCACCAGTTACAACTGAAGATGTTGGCACCAATACTGCAGATGCCCTGCATGCTAATATCCCAGCACTTTTGTTTTCACTTTGCTCTTCTACTAGTTCCACAAAATCACAGTGGCTGGCATGAAGGAAAGGGAATCTGGGGTGAGATGCCCTTTCCCCTAGAACTAGTGAGCCTGTGTCCTGAAAGCAAACACATGTGCCCTGACACTAACTCCATTCCATGGTTCCTTGTATAAATACCTGGCAGACTTACCCCATCAGCCCTCCACATATGGCATGTTTCCTAAATCCCAGCACTCAGATAGTTCTAATTCACACTGAGACAGATTCAGAATTACTATGACTGTGGTAGTTAAGAGCTTGGGTTTGAATCCTGGTTCTACCACTTACTAGCTCTGACCCTAGTTTCCTCATCTGTAAAATATGGAAGATAAGAATTCTTATGTCACAAAAGTTGTGTTAAAGGCAATGCATGCCACTTAACCTATTGTTTAAAATGTGGTCGATATTGACTATTATAGTTTTTATTAATTTTTTCTTAATGAAGAAGGAGTTGAGACTGAGATGGGTGAGGTGACTTATCTACTACATAGCCAGTGAGTAGCAAAGGCAAGTCAATGTACCTCCAAGCATCTGGCTTAAAGTTCAGTCTTCTTGGATAGCATCATCTTTCCATAGCTCCACAGGTGAACTTCTACCAGAACTGTATTTGCTTAGCAGTTTTTTCCCATTTAATGTCTCTGAGGAACCCATGCTGAAAAAACTGAGTATGCAAACAGAGTCAAGGGAAGGCAGGAAGGAGATGAAGAGAAAGCAGACTATAAATTCTGATAAAGTAGAGGGAATCATCCATGAGTCATCTGATGGTGGCCAGCCTCTTCAGCTCCTTGTTTTATGGAGGAATTCAGAAGACACTTGTCTTTCACCTTCAAAGGAAAATCATGAGGCTTGGAGACTAGTCAAGCTGTGCTCAACTCCTGGCACACTGACCACCTGTTAGTTGGGGTCTTTTGATAATGCATTGACTAACCTATATAAGGGAACAAGAAAGGACTTGGATAATTGTTGCCTTATTGAAAAAACTCAAACTTGAGAATTACAAAGGGAAAAAAACTTTGCCAAGGTGACACATCCAAGATCTGGGCAGATCTGGAACAAAAGCGCAGGTCTCATGAATGTTTTAATGTGATCTGAATCTAAGATGTTTTCCCAAAGTCTCCAGAGTGAGGACACATGTCCCCACATGTCAGTAACATGCAGGGTCGCTCTGGTAGAACAACCAGGCTTATGAGGCTGCAGACCAAACACAGGTAGCCAGTGGGGTGCCAGGAAGCCCTTACTCTTGTACTCTTCTTGCTGTTGAATCTCAATTACTCAGACTTTGGTAGAAAGAATGTTCTCCAACAGGCTAGTTTTACCCTTTAATAAAATAGGTAGCTGTTTTCATGATGGTAATTTAAGGGAGGCAGGTTAGGGCTCTGTACTTCCTATCTATTGTATAACAAATTAAACTTAGTGGCTTCAAAGAAGATAAACTTTTATCAAAATTTCTGTGTGTCAGGAATTTGAGAGAGTGGGTGGTTCTGGCTTGAGATCCCTTATGAAGTTGCAGTCAAGATGTCAACTGGGGCTGTAGTCTTTTGAAGGCTTGCCTGGAGCTGGAGGATCTGCTTCCAAGATGGCACACTCACACAGCTATGGACTGGAGGCCTCAGCTCCTCATCACATGGAGGTAAAGGGCCAGCCCTGGCAGCTGACACCCCCCAGAGGGAGTGATCAAGAGAGAGACCAAGGAGGATGCTGCCTCATTTATGATTGAGTCTCAGCACTGTTATCTCTGCCATATTCTAGTCTTTAGGAATGAGTTACTAAATCCAGTTCACACTAATAGAAGGGGGAGTATTAAGAATTTGTGGAGCATTTTTTCATGTGTCTGTTGGCCATTTGCATGTCTTCTTTGGAGAAAAGTCTGTTCATGTCTTCTGCCCATTTCTTGACTGGATTATTTGTTTTTTGGGTGTTGAGTGTGATAAGTTCTTTATAAATCTTGGATACTAGCCCTTTATCTGAAATGTCATTTGCAAATATCTTCTCCCATTCTGTAGGTTGCCTTTTAGTTTTGTTGACTGTTTCCTTTGCTGTGCAGAAGCTCCACATCACTTGGCATCAGGGAAATACAAATCAAATACAAATCAAAACCACAATGAGATTCCAATCAGAATGGCTAAAATTAACAAGTAAGGAAAGAACAAATGTTGGTGAGGATGTGGAGAAAGGGGAACCCTCTTACACTGTTGGTGGGAATGCAAGCTGGTGCAGCCACTTTGGAAAACAGTATGGAGGTTCCTCAAGATGTTCAAAATAGAGCTACTTTATGACCTAGCAATTACACTACTAGATATTTACCCCAAAGATACAAATATATTGATCTGAAGGGGACCTGTACCCCAATGTTCATAGCAGCAATGTCCACAATAGCCAAACTGTGGAAAGGGCCCAGATGTCCATCGACAGATGAATGGATAAAGAAGATGTGATATATATATGTACACACACACACACACACACTGGAATATTACTCAGCCATCAGAAAGAATGAATAACTAGCATTTACATCAACATGGATGGAACTGGAGAGTATTACGCTGAGTGAAATAAGTCAATCAGAGAAAGACAATTATCATATGGTTTCACTCATATATGGAATATAAGAAAAAAGGCAGAGGATCATAGGAAAAGGGAGGGAAAACTGAATGGGAAGTCATCGAGGGAGAAAAACCATGAGAGACTCTTAACTATAAGAAACAAACTGAGGGTTGCTGGAGGGG